AGAAGTAGTACATAAAAATATTAAAACGACTTACCAATTCAAAAGCAATCTGTAAAAAAAAAAAAAAAATTTAATCTTAGATTAAATAATTTAAATACTTTTTGTTATTCTAGATTCAAATAAAATTCAAAAAAAAGTTTTAATATTTAAGGCGACAATAATTTATAGTAGCAATAATCATTAAATTCCTTATAAATAATGCTACAAAAAAGTCGATATAATTCTTAACAATAAATTATAGCACACTAAATATAAACAATAAATAAATCATATAAATAAATAAATAAATTATTAAACGAATTTAACGTAATAACATATGAGCAAATGAAATACTTATGAAAGATTATCGATATCACAGAATATTACTTTCTTCATTTTTTTTAATATATATTTTCTTTATTATTTCAAATAATTATAAAATGGATATAATGAATAATTATATTGAATAAATCAATGAGTAAAAATAACTATGTAAAGATTATGACATGAAAGTTTAAGATTTGGGATTGTTGATTTAAACGAAAGTTTTTATTATAGTGTAGGTACAACATATAAGTGCATTATAAACTTAGACCCAAGAATTGCAGTTTTTGAACTAGAGGAATTGTAGCTTAAATTTTAAATAATTAATTACATTAAATAATAATATAAAAAGGCATAAAAAGATAAAATAAATGAATATCTCACCAAAAGGAAAAAATTTACAAAAATGACAAATATTCTTAAAGTCAGCAAAGCTGAGGACTTAATCCCGACTTAAGTCAGTATTGAGACTTTATTTACACACTGTGAAATTTGTCTGAAATGTTATTCCTTCTACCTAATTGTTATAAATTCTGAAAATTCTGGAAGTATAATTGAATTGTGTCAAACACTTAGAAATTCTTCATACGCAATTTCTAGAAAAGTATGTAACAGATATCTTTAACTTTGTAGAAGATGTGGTATTGGTGTTAATCCTTACAAAAATAGCTTTGAATAACAGTTCTGTTTGATATATGTCACTGAAACAGTGTTGCTAAACTCGAACTACAAATTGAGTAAACCATTATTTTCAACAGTTAACATACATTTGCACAACCAAGGCAAATCTTATACGGAGATTGGAGAAATGATGGTTAGAAGCCGTTATACCATTCGGAGCATTGTGCAGAGTTTCAAGGGACGATATTGTGCAAAATTCAAAGCACATAAGCCGACCTAAAGCCATGAATGACCATGATCGCAATATTATAATAAGAAAAGTGAAGGTCAATCCAAAAATATGCTCAACCCAAATTGCAGCTAAGGTTAAGCGAGAGTTTGGCAAGAAAATTCACCCCATAATGGTTAGGAGGACACTGCTAGAGGCTACTCTGTCGTGTCGCTAGACGAAAACCGTTAATTTTCAAATTCAACCAACAGCAGCGTCTAGCCTATGCAAAGGCGTACTTAAGCAAGCCATTCGAGTTTTGGAAGAATGTTATTTTCTCAGATGAAAGTTAATTTAAAATCTTTAATAGCGATGTCTGTGAAACAAGGTGGTGGAAGAGTGTTCATTGACGGTATTATGGACAAAAATTATTATTTGGACATTCTCAAGAGACACGTCAAAAAAAGTACCGAAACTTTGAGTTTACCTGCCACATTTAGTTTCCAACATGATAATGATCCAATACATACTGCTTGCGATGTGTTCATAATGTAAAACACACATTGCCGCATACACCTCAATCTCCAGATCTCAACCCCATTAAACATTTATGATAGATGATTAAAGAAACACGCTATAACAACAAAATCAGCACTGGTGGTGGCACTGCTTGAAGAGTGGCAAAGTAGTAAGCCAGAAACCACATAAAAATTGGTTTTTCGGATGACAAGGCGACTAGAAGCCGTTATCAAATAAAATGGCTTGGCCACTAAATTTTAATTGTTACCTTAAATATTTTCTTTAAATTTGTTTTTTAATTTTGCCAATCATTTTATTCAGCCAAATTTAGTTTCTTTTTGGTTTCTTAATTTTAAAAAATATATTATAAAAATATAAAAATAAATTATATCGAAAAAATTTTTTTGTTGATTAATAATCGCATCATTAACGGGATAAAAATAGCGCAAAAGTTCAATTTGCTTACTGTGCCATTAATTATGTTCGGCACTGTAATAATTCCCATGTCTTGTTAGTATTCTAAGAATAGCCCAATAGGACCCTCCCCACATCTATCAAGCAGTTAAGCATATCTTTAGGGTCAGTTTTTTGATGTCACTGAAAAAACCTTTCGAATAAAGATAACCGGTCAACGCTTAGACGTAATCTAATTAATGTTTTCATATAGATAAGGTCAAGAAATAAAAATAATTGCGTAATACGAAGTAATTTTTTTTTTATACAAATGTAAACTGTGAACTTATTTTAATGAAAGCGTTTTTCCCACAATAAAATGAAGAAACCCAACAATACCACCCGTACTACACTGTTAGAAAAAATAAAGACCAAACATTTTTTTAAAATTTTTTTAAATTCTTTTGCACATATATGCTTTCTATTGGATCTTTATAATAAATTAATAAAGGTTAGTAAAGTTAATATGTTTGAGTGTATAACTATAATTGAAGAGTTTAAAGTTGAGAGATTTATATGTATATTTTTTAATCCGATTATATTTAAATTAAAAAAATTTAGTAATGAGTAATTAATTTAGTATTTATATTTTTTAAGTGATAATTTTATTGGTATGACATGAACAATATATTTAATTTATTGCATGTGATAATGTTGATATATCTGTGACATAAGTTGAATAGCTCTACGTATTGTCTTCGAAACTGCATCAAATTTTAATACTGATGCTAAAATCGCTATTTATTAATTTTAATAACTATTTTTTTTTTTGTTTTGAACATGTTGTAATATTGAGCGCTAGTACCTTAATAAATCTTTTATAATCTATGTTAATCAAATAGATGAAATTCTGATTATAAAGCAAGAAACAAAATTACGTTTGTTGTAGGTAAAGCATATAATACTCGATGACAACAATAACTATCGCCTAGGCTCGTTTGACTGATAGTCCAACATCTCTTCTTCCAGACAGGGATGTGTTTAATAATCTTTCGCGATAATCAGTTAGTAATTTAATTAATTTTTTTCTGCTTAGGAAAGATTTTTAATTTAACTGAGTTCTTTGGAGAGGTACATGATTTGAAACAAAAACTTACAAATGCGAATGTAAAAATAATAAATTAATGCCATGAAGTTTTATTTATTTTATTATATTGATTTTGTCATATTAATATGTTGTATTCATATCAGTGTTTTCAAAAATAAGATTAACTAGACATATGTATATAAAAATTTTATATATGATAACTTATAGTTCAGATAATACTGAGGCAGCGGCTTCACATTCGTTCTTCGTATTCGCTTGCAATGAAACAAAAATGGAAAAAAACAGTTATTTTGACATCTGTTGATTGTCATGTGAATGTGGTATGCTACAAAAACAGCTGTTTCTTTTAAGGTTGCAATTCTGCAACAGAGGTATTCCCGCACATTTGCAGGTTTTTTATAGCATTTTTGGATTTCGTGCCTCTTGCAATAACTTAGCAAGGTAAAGTGAACACCTCTATTGGTTTTGCCTTATTTATTAAAAATAATATTGTCAAAAATATGTGTTATATGTTAAAAATATATTTAGAAATGTTTTTCATATGGCGTTTACACTGGCCGCAAATGACTTATTTAAAATCAGTCATTTGAAAGTTTTTACATTCGTTGTTATTCATGTGTTCTTATTTCAAACAGCTGATTTGTCAACGTGGCTGTTGATTTGATTTTTGGCTTGTGCCATTAAATGTTGGATGAAGGTAAACTATTCTTTCAAACCTTTCTATATAAACTTAAAATTTTTTTTAGCTGCTATTAAGTACTTTTTGCGAAGTAGAAGTTTTAAAAAGAGGTGCGTCGTTTTCAAGGAAAAGCACCCACTATATATTTGTTAACCTTTTTTTCTAAATATGTCAAATACAGCTTTTTCAAATTTTCAAAACTCCATTAAAAACTTTTATTTAGGGTATGTTCAATGTATTCATTTGCATTTAGAATTCATTTGAAACTCGTTGTAACTCATTTATACAAAATGAGATCCAATGCACGAGTGTGGATCTCATTTGCGTATATGAGATTTTGTATGTAGTAATCAGTCATTTGCTTCTCATTTGTGATTATTGACCCAAATCAATCATTTGAAGTCAGCATATTTATATAATTTGAGGTCAATTGCAAAATAGTATTTTTCAACAAAATATTTTTACTAACATTATCATGCCAATTGATAAAAGTAATTTAATTTTATAAAAACTTATATAATTCCTGTGACTTGTTTAAAAATTATGTATAGACAATCACATTAATAGATATTTCAAAACATCACAATTGTTGGGAATTTTGTAGTATCCATCACAGCTGTACGGATTAAATCAGCAAAAATATAATTTGATATTTATATTTTTAATGGGATTATAATTAATTATAATTTAAAGGAAATAATGTGAAAATAATTTTGAGTGTGAAAATTTCCTCGCTATTATCCCCTGCAAAATAAAAATGTTTTATACGAAATAAATGTCTTATCAGAGTATACAAAATTTATAATAAAAAAATTGTACATATATATTTTGAAAATATGTTTTTAACAAAAAAAAAAATTAATTTTTATTATATAAAAAACTATAATGTGTGATATGATATCAAACTTGATTATATGTTATTTAAAAAGTTTTATAAAAATACTCGATCACAAAAACTTCATAACTAAATATTAAAAATTAATTATGCTCTAAATAAAAAACTATAAACACAAATAAGACAATAACGAATTTAGTTCACATATTTTTTTTCAGTGTAAACATCTGATTAATTCTTTTCAAAAAGATTAAAAAGTATCTTCATTTGCTCATTGCTTACAGTCGTCGCTTCAAATCAAATAAAAACTGAAACAAAAATCGAACTTGTTTATTCTGCCGTTGAGAGTTTGTGTAAATCTTGTTTGTTGACATTCAAGCGCGAATCTGTCAGTAAGAAAACAGCGCGGCACTAAACAAGATTGAAAACGCGCTTAAAAAATTTCAAGAAATCGTCAAACAAAGCTAAATGAAATAATTAAAAATAAATAAAATACAAAATAAACTGAATTTATTTCATTCAAAAAGCCAATGAAATAAATATTATTGCAAAACTAAGTGCGATTTTATAGTCTAATTGTCGGGCCGAATGTAAAGGTCGTTCGATTGTGATAACACATGCTCTACAGATACATTTGTGTATAGTGAATCAAACGCTCGTAATTGGGTTTATTTTAAATTACTTTTCTATGCATCTCAAGTGCGTGTTCGAATATTTGATTAATAAAAATATATAATTTATTGTCATACGAAATACCGAGCCCGTTTGCTTAATTATAGCCTGAGAAAAACCCAGAATGTTGCTAGTCAGAAATATTTTTGTATTAATCTTTGTTTGCTTAATGCAGCAGATCTCAGCACAGTGTAAGTACAAATAAAGCTATTGTTGTTCATAAATATTCTTTATAAACAATTTTATTTATTCAATATTAGCATTTAATTATTATTCAAGACTAACTTGCGAAAATTAAATCAAGTATGAGTAGTCTGTTTAGTGTTTATATTTATAACTTCAAGTGATTTTGGATTATGTAGATGAGATACAAAAGTGTTTGTTAATTCCAAAAGAGAATTAATGTATGTATAAACATATACAGATTAAAAGTAAGAGATATACAAATATATTTTTTTTGAGTTATGAAATATATGAACTCTTCATTTTTAATAGAAGGGACCGGATTTTATCAATACAAGATATTTTAATATATATTTAAAATTAATTTCGATAATACTAAACCTATGAGAACCATTTATATATTATGTTTAGTTTTAAAATGTCAAATAATTTAAACTTAGAATTCCGATCTTAATAACAACGTAAAACTTGAGTATCTATTTCAAGCTCAAACATTCAATTTTAATAAGATATCTTGGAAGAAGGCTTCAGATTTCTAAGTTGAAGGGAAAACGGAATTAATGGAATTATTGCTTAGATAGAGTACATCATTTATATACACATTGAGGAAATCATTTGAAAAGTAATAAGCAGTGAAAGAATGTTTGAGATATTCTATAGCATTTTTCATATTCTTATATTTGAATTTACAGGAATACCAAAGATATTTAAAAATGCAATTTAGACTTCTTACTGCTCTTCATTTATCTCTAAACGATTCGAAAGTAGTTCTAAAATACTTTTAGAAATAAAGGACACTTCAGATTCAAAAACACTACACATATTTACCCAATTCATTAAAAAAAACATTACTTCAAAACTGTGGAATATTTTTATTTTAAAATATTTTCATTTTTCGCATAATCCTCCAAACAAAAGAGTATGCTAGACCTCAGTGTGATGAGCCGCGCAAAAGACGTGAAAAGCTTAAAAATCATATGCTTTATAATTTATGAAAAATTTTCCCTACATATATAAATAACTAGTCAAAAACGAATGGAATACAAAGTAGCAGTCATAATATTAAAAAGTAAATTTATCAAAAATATAGCCTGTGTTGAAATATTAAATCGTGCACATTAGAGAAATTACAATGTAGGAAAGTTTAAATTCATACAGAACAGTTAAAAACCCAAACGTTACTGTTTTAGCATCACTTTAACCTTAAGTTATTACTTTGCAGAATCACTTGAAGCAAAGAAGTTGGATCATTGCACGAAGCACGACAAACATGATGTGTTGATCATGGATCTCGTAAATAGATCCATGATCAACACATAAATAATCACCAGGGATTTTCGATTTTGAAATCGTAAAACTATTTGATATGCAAATTAAATGAAATTTAGTAATGAGTTAAAAAATCAGACCACATACCGATCAAGTCTTTGAAATAGTAAAGGAACCATTATAGAAAAAAAATTTATTATATCATTAATCTACTTTCGAGGTGTAAAAAAATAGCACAATAAGACCAATGAATGTAATAACAATGAAAAGATGAAATGTCTTCTGCCAAATCTTCACAAATATTTTGCATAAATACATAGAATAAAAAACATGAAAAATAAAAATATAAAAAATCGATTAAAATATCTTATTAAGATTGTTGGGAAATGCACAAAATTCTGTTATTAATCATTTATTGTTCATAGATGTGAAGCAAGTTCTCAATACTTATAACGCTTCGTTACAATTTCACAGCTGGTGTGTATGATACCGGAAAACGTTTTAGTAAGGTAATCACTCACAACTGCAATATTGTTCTTAAATTGAAAAAAATTATATACCCTATATATCCCAACCATCAATCCTATACTATATCAAGTTGTCAGGGGTACAGTAAAAGAAGAAAACAGAAATCGACAAAACAAATGAGCATGAAGTACACTTTAAGACCTTGAGACCGTATGTTTCACAACGAGAAGAGGCAAAAAATAACTTAGTTAGGAATCAGAGATAACAAGTTGCAATCTGCGACTAAGCTTAACTACCTTGATTTTATCCTAGCCAGCAATTAAGTCCTGTAGCTCGTAATTAAAGATTGTATAAAAAATAACATATTTGAAGTAGATCAAATATTATATATGCGAAAATGTTTATAAGGAAACAGTTTTCGAGCAAACCCTCGAAGTTCAGATTGTTATATGATTAAAGTATTTGTGCCAAATAGTTTAGATGATTACACTTATTGAAGTGGATATAACGACAATATTAAGTTCTTACTGCATTTTGAGACTGTTACTCAAGGTCTTATTTATTTTATTTAACAAAATCCGTAAGGCTGTGGTTGTGTAATTTAAAGAATCATGCTAGAGAAAGCCAGAAACCAGGTAATCAGATATTATCTATTAATTTGAATATAACGAAAAAATTTAGTTGTTGCTGTACTTTGAACCAGCTTCTCTCAAACAATTTTAAGTTACATTAACACGTATATTATATATGTTGTTCTATGTATTATTTAGTACTGATAATTATTTTTAGCTCTCTCATGTCAGCAATCCAATTGTCTTAAAAGAAACAGTTGTTCTCAGAATGGGATATTTTTTTACTTTATATCTATTCCTTTAGCCGCCGCAGATTAAGTAGGCTAACAAATTGAGGAATCTCTTGTTTTTGTTTTATTGTCATAATAATGTTCGGTGATTGATTTGTAAATTAAAAAAAAATTAATATTATTAATATTACGTATTTTGTTTAAAAAAATGATTGAAAGTTGCAAATACTGATTTTATTATTTGCTATGTTCGAGTGCGAAGACAAATTATGATATATGGTTGAAAATAAATATCGTGTCATGAAACATTTAAAAAGGTGATTGAATAAGTATTATTAGATAAATGTGCTCAAAAAGTATCCGTATTTTGTTGTATGGTACATGGTACAAATTATATGGTACAAATTTGAGCACCATCTGTTAATTAGTTTGTTTACAGCAGCTGTTAATGTGAGACTACCTCAAGTGCATTTAGCATTTTTACGATGAAAAATTCTTGTTGTACGCGATTTTTTGACCAAACACGGTACCACTGTCGTCGCTCAGGCACCAGATCTGGATCCGTGTGACTTTTTCCTGTTCCCGAAACTCAAATGGCTCCTTCGTGGTAAGCGTTTTGAGTCGATTGAATCGGTAAAAGAGAATTTGCTCAAGGGCTTACGAAAAGTGTATGGAAGATTGGGTTAAGCGTTGGCATATGTGTATGGCTTCATAAGGAGCATATTTTGAAGGAGATAAAATAAATTTGGAATAAAATTTAAATTTGTGTTTTATTTACAAAATCCGAGTACTTTTTGAGCAGAATGTATAGGCTTGCTGTTAGGCGGAAAGTTGTTGAATAACTTTTATAAAAATGTTCATATGTCAGAAGGAAATTTTTGTTTGTCTTAAATATTTTTTCACAGTTTTTTTGTTTCTTTTAATTTTCCTTATACTTAGTTTTTATTTTTAAAATTTTTATATTGACTTCTTGATTGACTTTTTTATCTACAATACCAAATAAAATGCCTTTTTTTCTATTTTTTTTAATCAACACCCATTGGTTTTTGTTCTAAACTGTTTAGTAGTTTTTAGGAAACAAATGTTTCCAACAGAGTTCTTTGAAATGGATTTCTTCGTAAACTCATTCTTTATTGAGTTTTTGCTATTTTCTGCCCTTAAAAAAGGATATGTTAGATTGCTAAAACATTTTCGTGTAGGACAGGAAACAGTTTTAAGTAATAATAAATTACAGCACCGCAACCCTTGTCACTTTAAATCGTGTTTTGTGTGCTGAGAATTTAATTTGCTACGTTTTTTATACGATTTTTCAATGATTTACGTGATAAAACCGCATTTGTAGTAACATTTTTGACAGTTGACACTTTAAGCAATTCCTCTGACATTCACTGTATTTTGATTTGGTCCTTAGTTTTAAATTAAATTCGACATTTAAAACAAATGAAACAGTTTTACATCTTATTTCCATGGGGATGTCAATTCGGCTTATTCATATTTATATTAGTCTCAAGCGGTTGTGAATGAAATGTGAGTTTTTCCCAAAAGTCAATTTAGCATAAACTGTACATGTTTTTAGTTCGGTATTTATAACTCTATCTCACAAAAATATTTAAGTTTCTATGCTTATTTTAACTTTGTGTGTGAATTGGGTCTTGTTTACTCTAACACAAATGCGATTTTCACTATAATATTACAAGTGCTTTTTCATTATATCCCATGTTATCATAACAATACCTTCTTCACACTAAATCATTGTAAGATATTTATTTCAGTGCGTTATACTTTGCTTGCAGACTTAAGAGGAATTAATATTCTTAAGTACTTATGAATGATATCGTTCAAGCCGCCATAGATGGAATAAGTAACAAATTATTTACGCTTACGAGTAATAACAGAATATTCCTACTTTGAGACTATTTACCTTATGTACTAGTTCAGGTTTAGAGTTTCCGTTTCGGTGTCTAATTAAATGCTCACAAAAAAAAATACCCTCGGATATAATCCATATCTCCAACAATTTGAATCAATGAAAAGATACATTGTGTAGTATCCATTAAAAAAGCAACTTTTTTGGGTAAAGTATAACTGCACACTATTAAGTAACCCAATATCACTCGTATTCATATGATAAAAAACACACTCAATCCCAAAGTCACTGAAAGAGCCAAATGGAAGCCGAAGTACGTAACAATTGTTGTTTTAAAAAAGTCTATATGGGTTACTAAACCATCAGTGACATCCTTTACTACTTTATCCTTCACTTGTTTTATGTGTTGTATGTTCCGTTTTAAGTTTAGCTTGCATATGAACACTTAAAAATGTAAAGCATATTTTTCTTTCATTTACAGTTTGTTCAGGTGATTAAACATTGTACGTTACAAAGTAATTTTATCCATTAAGGACATTTCAAAACGTTTTTCATATGTTCTATAGATTTTTTTTGACCATTACATTCTGCTACTAAAACTTGAATGTGTATTAAAACGACTTTTACATTCGAGAGACAATTAAAAATAACTTTTTATTTAATACTTAAAATTTATATATATTTATTTTTTCAGATAGTTTCAGTATGAAGTCAATTTTATGTGGTCTTAATATCTATTCAATCTATCCATCAAAAAATAATATGAATGTTTAAAAAGAATCAAGAAAAAACATCTCAAAAAGTAACAAGCATTAAAAATTTTCTTATTTATTATTTATATAATCTTCAATCTTTATTCCATTTTCTCCATATTAGTTCCTCTTTGATATAATATACTTATACATTTTTTAAGAATATTTTAAAAATAATCTAATCTTCAACATTTATTCCATTCTGTTTAAAGTAATTCTACTTTGATATAGTACAGTTATATGTGCTATAGTTTTTTGATTATTTATAAAATCTTCTTAAATAATCTAATCTTTAGTATTTATTCCATTTTGATTAAAGTAATTCAACATTTATATTATGCACTCATATATATTTTTTCGAAATTATGAATATTAATTGCATTCCCTTCAGAGTCTCTGATTTGATATCTCGGACGCATATCTCTTTTCAAGACTCTTGAATTAATTTTCAATATTTATTTTATTTAATCCTATCAATTGCATGAAAATCATGTCCTTTGTGTACCTTTTGGGTTTTAGTATAAAAAAAAATTAACGACCGTGAAGATATGTTTTGCTACGAACTATTAAATATGCAATATATTTGTGGAACAAATTTTGATACCACTGGTTTCATATTCTTAATATTCCTTAAAACCATTTTTAAACACCGTACAATATTCTCATATCTTCAGCAACATCTCTTTAATGTTTCCTATTTATATGAAAACATTAAACAGTGACAATATATCACTGAATGACATATTAGGTTAGATTACGTTAGGTTAAGTTAGGTTAGGTTAGGTTAGGTTAGGTTAGGTTAGGTTAGGTTAGGTTAGGTTAGGTTAGGTTAGGTTAGGTTAGGTTAGGTTAGGTTAGGTTAGGTTAGGTTAGGTAAGGTTAGGTTAGGTGAGGTTAGGTAAGGTTAGGTTAGGTTAGGTTAGGTTAGGTTAGGTTAGGTTAGGTTAGGTTAGGTTAGTTAGGTTAGGTTAGGTTAGGTTAGGTTAGGTTAGGTTAGGTTAGGTTAGGTTAGGTTAGGTTAGGTTAGGTTAGGGTAGGTTAGGTTAGGTTAGGTTAGGTTAGGTTAGGTTAGGTTAGGTTAGGTTAGGTTAGGTTAGGTTAGGTTAGGTTAGGTTAGGTTAGGTTAGGTTGGGTTATATTAGGTTTCGTGAAGTTAGGTTAGTTAGGTGAGTTAGGTTATGCTAGGTTACGTTAGATTAGGTTAGGTTAGATAGTGCCGGTGATTATGATGTAATTTTCTCGACCTACCTGATAATGATAGTATAAATTATTGTAGTAAATATGTGTTTTAGAATTAATTTATTTCTTAATTGTATCTATTAATCCTTTAAAGTTTAAACTAGAAATCCCATTCATAACTATCGTAGTTGTTAGTCCAAGTCGAATATTTAATTTGCAATGTGTTTATGAATTAAAAAGTTAACTATAATTAACTTCATAAATAAAATAAAAAATAATTTATATTCCACTGCAGATAATAAAATTAAATACTTTCAAAATTAAATACGTGACACTTAAAATTGAACGTAAAACATAATATGTATATGTACATTAAATCTAAATTTTTAAGTCTTAAAAAAAATAAATAATAAGTAAGTATTTAAGCGCTACTTTGAAATCAGTTCAGTACCATAAATACACTTTTATTATCTCATTCCAGGAACTATAAAAATTGTAAAAAAATTTTATAAATTTCTTTCAATTGAAATCTGTTGACAGTGCAATTTCACAAAATTGCTTCTTATAAACATTATGATTTGAGTACATTGATGAAATTTAAGCACAAGTAACCCAACACAGCCACTAGCAATAAATTCATAGTTCCAAACAAACAGAAAAAGAATCAAAGTTAACTCATAATCAAGCAATGTGTCATATTCCGAAATAATAGATTTAAAAATTGAACTAGTGTAAAGCTAACAACTTCAATCTCAAATGCGTCAATAATCTTTATCCTTCTTTTTCCTATGGAAACAAAAGTGAAAAATTCAACAATTTCTTTTCAATTACAGATCGTTGCAGCAGTCCGAATCGCGTTGCTGGCTATTGTGTTTCCGTTTATGAGTGCCCCAGTTTATTGGAAGTACTGAAACGCAATCAGCTCACACCATCACAACTTCAATTTTTGCAAGAATCACAATGTCAAAACGGTTATGGTCGTCCACCGTTCGTATGCTGTACACCCGATATCGACTTTAATCGTCCTGTCACGACAACAACAACAACACCAATTTCAGTCACTACCACAACGCAGCGCACTGTTATAACACGTGGTAATGGCAGAGGCAACATACTGCCAGTACCGAATGAATGTGGTCCAAACACGTTAGCAAAAAAAATTTATAATGGCATCGAAACCGCTTTGGATGAATATCCCTGGATGGTTTTATTGGAGTATAGAGAGAGTAAGTGTTGTTAAAAATCGAAATAAGTTGAAAAAATAGTTTAAGCTATAGAAACTAATGCCATAAACGTTTAAAAATGAAAATTCTTAACTTAATGCATTTTTATTGATTACTTTGCTTTACTTATTGATTAATAAGTAATATTATTTGCGTGCCAAGACTCGTTTTATAAGAAAAGTCATTACCCAATTTATATCAATCTAACCAAAATAAGATTATGTTTTTGGATATACTTATAACATAAATATCAAATTAGAATTAGATATATGTAGCAACAAGTGATATAATTCTGTTAGATAATATTTCTAAAGTAACAAACACATTATTTATGAGTCTATTCGACCGGTCTGAAGTGCAACAAAAACAGGTCTCTTGCTCAAATTCCCAATTTGTAAGTAAACTAACAACAGTACTCTCTTGCTCTAACGGACTAGTTATGAAGTCTCTAACAGTCTAAGAGGCTGTAGATTTTAGCAAAGAGATAATGATTTATTGTAAATCTTAACAGGAAATTTTAACGATTGTTCCAGTCATCTCTGGATGCAACAAAAACTCAAACAAGATTAAAAAGTTTCATAGAAAAATATTCAGGAATACAGAAAAAAAGTTTAATTAAAAAGTAAATGGAATTTTTTAACTTGTTAGTTCCTAACAAGTTTATGATTTGTTAAGGAAAAATGTTTTCAACTATAATTAATTTTTTTAATAGAAGAATATTTCATAATTTTCCACGTTATTAATATTACTTTTATATTACGGATTTTATTTTTATTTACATTTTCTAATTAATATTTAAATTTATACATATATATATATTATACATACAAAAAAGTAAAACTTATTATTTGTGAAAACGTAATATTTGACAGATGGCAACAACGATGTCAATATGTCAGCAAGAGAGTTTAGTAAGAGACTTGTTGTTTTTTGCCACACTTCTGATCAGACGAATACCTCTTATAAGAAAAAATAAATAAAAATATTAGCTTTGGCTCCGTCGCAACTTTTAGACAATATTTGATATATACATTATGCTCTCATTAATCATTAATTAATATAAAATAGCAGTTAATATAATAAATTGGACATTCTATTATATTAATATAAGTACATTGATCACCAAATGATATTCAGTAACAAATTATATCCTTCATAAAAATGTATATAACTCATATCCTATTGTTCAGTTTATATAGCAGTCTTAAAATATAGTAGTAGTAGCACCAAACATCATTTGAACATGTTTGTTAGAAACGGATAAAACTTATATATAATTGTTCAGTTTATATGGCTATAAAATATTGTGGTTGGATTTTAACCAGCCTGACAAATAATTAACTTCAACGGTTGAAAAATATATGTGCAAAATTTCATTGCAGTAGCTCAGAAATAGTGAGTGTAGTTTTGGATGACAATCATACCCGAGGTCAAATAAAATCATCTCGTTTAGCTGATCAAGAAAATATATACTTTGTAGAATCGATGTTTCCTTCAATGTATTAAAAAAGTGTGAAAAACTTAATACATCCTTCTTACACTTTTTTGTAAAAACAATATAAATGAGTATTCAGTATTCAGTGTAAATAAATACTATTTTTAGCTTTTCTAAATTAAATACGAAAATTTTCACTATATACAAAATTATTTATATTAATTAACATTCCACATAACTACGTTCAAATTCATTGTAGTATTTTACATACAGTATATGCTCTAAGTAGTTAATTAATAAGTCAATGGCTGTGTAGTGCATTAGTACAGCACATATGTGCTACAATAATGAATAAATTACTTTACCACTTATCCGCTATACAAACGCAATGAATTAATACGACTATAATTAACTTGTAGAAAACGGTAATCGCATACTAAACTGTGGTGGCAGTTTGATAAATCAACGCTATGTGATAACTGCTGCGCATTGTGTCAAAGGTCAAATCGAGCAGCAAGTCGGGCAATTGTAAGTACGAACAATATTAAATGCTACAAAACCCCTTAACTATCACAATAAAAGTAATTTACCTACTTCATTGCTAATTAAATGCAATTCTCTTACATTTTCTACCTTAACACGTACTGCTTACAACAACAACAATATTTATAACAACAATAACAACTTAAATGCTTACAGAGTGACAGTACGTTTGGGTGAATACGACATTACACAGGAAATCGATTGTATTGAGGACGACTGCAACAACAAAGTCTTGGAATTGGGCATTGAGGAGGTAACACCACATCCGCAATTCGATCCAAATAGCGAGCATCGTTACAATGACATAGCGCTGATACGCCTGAATGCGGATGTCACGTACACGGATTTCATTAAGCCGGTATGCCTGCCCTTAACAGAAAGTCGTTTGCCCATCAATGTAGACGAACTCTTAGTAGTTGCTGGCTGGGGGCGAACACTTTTGGGTGAGTACAAGAGTACAAGTATTTGTCGCATGTCGTAAAGATTTTTAATTTCTTTATGCAGAAAATTTCAAGCAAAGAAAGTGTAAAGGAATTAATTTAAAATTGATATTTTTATTTCTGAAATTTGACATTTTATTTTACATTTAATCCTTTTTGTTTTGTTTTTGGGTCAACTTTTATTACAACTCCCACAGCACGTCAGAGCAATGTTAAAATGCAACTACTTATACCAGTTAATGACCATGATTCATGCGTACGCAAATTCTCCTCGCGTCGCATTAACATAATTGAGACACAGTTGTGCGCGGGTGGAGAATTTGCAAAGGACAGTTGTGATGGTGATTCGGGTGGACCTTTAATGCGGCGTGGCTTCAAGAAGCGCTGGTATTTGGAAGGTATTGTATCCTTTGGCAACCGCTGTGGTCTTGAGGGTTGGCCTGGTGTTTACACACGCGTAGCTGATTACATTGATTGGATACAAAGTAATTTGAAGCCGTAAAATCAAAGAAAATTAATTTAATTTATAGCCATTAATAGAAATTTAATAAGCCCAATATTTTTAAATCAATTATAATTACGAAACTTATTTATAAAGATAATGATAATGAAAAGAAATTTTATTAAAAGAAAAATTTGAAAAAAGAAATTAAAATTTGTCCTTAAGTTGTGGTAGAGAGAGAAATTCAAAATTATATTTCAACTAAAGTTTATTTTTTATAGCAAATTTGCTTTGCGTGTAAATTTACCAATTCCGAGCAGTAAAATTAATTTAATTTGCGTTCCAAACTTAACGGAAGACAAAATGGCATTTACCGCGTTCCACTATTCCCGAGCGTATGAGCAACAAAATTAAAAGTTTGTTGTCGTGCTGCATAAAGTGCAGCTCCAACGAAACCGCTGACTTCGTAAATACTTACATTTAATATAATTTACACTGACTGGGAGTGCATATTTAAAAGTAAAATACGCTGATTTAATGGCAGCAGTGGACTTACTAGAAAGTTAAAGGGATACATGGAAGTAGAGAAAAATTTTGTCATATGAGAGTAATCAACAGACACGTGCTTTAAACGAATTTGGTATATTAAAAAGAACCAGTAATTTATAAGCAAATATTAAAAGTTGTAAAAACAATATATACCTACATACAAAATATATTTTCTACTTATAAAGATACATTACACTGAGCTCAAGTAAATTCTTATAAAGGTGCAATTTTTACTTAATTATTAATAATATAACAAAATAATAATATCTACGATATCTCTGAAATGGTCTTCCTCGAATACTACATTCTACGGCTTTCCATTGCTGACAACTGACTGTAACTTTCTAATAGTGTTACTTTCTTCCAACACAGCTGCCGCTTCTTCCACCAACACTACTACTATTACTACTATTCCAATAAATTTTTAAGATGTGACACTATGAGTTCACCAACTCATAGTATCCCCCCGAGTAAGCCCCCGAGTAAGCCCCCCGAGTAAGCCCCCCGAGTAAGAGGCTTTGTATTACGACTTCAGTACTACGCATTATTGTTTATATCTAGTAATCTAGTATCTACCCATTTACATTATATGATCTATAAGAACATATACCTATTGTTTGTGTTTAATCTCTTTTGAAATATTTTTGTTTTCATAATAAATGTGCTGGAAACGTCAGTTTCACGATTTTTGTACTATGATAAAAGAATCATATTCTTGAAATGGTTTTGAAAGAATATATATTAAATATATAGTTGTAGTGTTTTATTGGTACCAATGACTTTCATATTAGTTATTATCTTAGTTAAGAATATACGATCAAAAACTACATAGCTTAAAGAAAACATATATAGATGGGAGCATTTATTGATTTAAAAATCCTAATATTTAATATAGGTACAGATGGAGGCAGATAGTGAGGAAGGCTAAGGTTCATACTACACTGTAGTGTCAAATAAGAAGAAGAACTTATTGCAAGAGGGAGTCCTATACGTTTATTTACTAGTTTATTTTATGTCGCTTTCGATAAAACACAGTAAAATTATTGACCAAATTGCTGAGCTTGATTTGCTAAACCTATACCATTTTCCAAATTTGATAGAATCTAAACTTTTAAATTTAATTACACTTTCTCCTAAACTGTAGTAGCTTCTCGGAAAGAAATTTTTTTTTAGATATTAATTAACTGATGTTTAGTAAGCATTACCATTCTTACAATTCATTCATAATTTGGAAATACTATGTTCAATAAGCATTCAAGGTGAAAAACTGGCTAAGGAATCCTGGTTAAGGAACTAAGCCAATATAAGTCAATTTTGGTGACCTAGTTACTATTTAAGTAGCTTGGAAATATAATAGTAGCTGAATATAATTTAAAAGAAGTCGTGTTCAATTACCATATGGTAAAAAAATATGGTAACATCACCTCAGGAAAGCAGAATATAATGAATGACTTAAATATTATTTTATTAACAATCTTACATTTAATTTATTATTAAAAAATTGTGTTCAATATGCATTTAATAAAAATTGGTGGTTTTTCTTTTTCGACTAAACAGTTAATGCAATACAATGTCGGCTCTGTTGTTGCATTAGCATATTACACATTACACATAATTAAGAAAAAACTAATATTCGATAAGTTTAGCAAGAAAATATGGAAACTCTATTTCATTAAGGCACCGACCTGAATATAAATTCAGAAGGACTTATCTAAATACATCTCTTGAAGTAGCAAAAAGTTGTCCATAACAGTGTGTAGATCTTTTGATTGTGTGTCAAATATATAACAATTTTTGAAATGGACTAACACTACTATAACTACAAGACTCTTCTATAGTAAGCTCGAACAGAGGTTATTGATAAGTTACTTAAAGCGTCAGCTTAATTGCATCATGAACTCAACAAGATGGCCGTGCATAATATGAGGTAATGATGGGTTTACTTGTTTCCTATATGATTTCTTGGTAGATTCTTTGTGACTATCTGGCTTTTTTAGACTGTTGAAATAATGTTGTGCTGGGTATTCCTTTTCATGTTTTATATATATTCTCTTCGGTTAGTGTCAGTTGTTAGCGTAAAAGACTTATTATGGTAGTAGTACTTTACTTTTTGGAAGGGACAGAACTCTGCTATGTTTCATTCTAATCTAAGTAGATTTATAACTTTATATATGTAAACTGGTAGTTGTTGATCAATTTTAGTCACAGGTTGCTGAAAGTCAAATAATTTTGGAATGTACATAACAAGCTGATATATATAAACAGATTAATGAAAAGAAAATTATATAGAGGAATTAATACACTAAGAGACTTAAATATAAAAGTTTGAAATCTAATAAATAAAATTGAGTGATGATGAAAATTGTGTTTTTATAGTTAATAATAGAAAACATTGGAAATGCCTGACATTGAACTATGGTCTTTAGCGACGAAATCATAATGGCGGTGTATAGATGATTTGATTAAAACAATTATTATTTGCCTTGTAGTTTTAATTACAGTCTAAGCAATGATTAATTGTTAATAGATGTGAATAAAAATCTTATAAAATTAATTATAAGTAGTAAAATTATTTGTAGTAGTAATTAAATCTAAAATTGTAATGAAAGTCATATTAACAATTAATTTAATAAAATACATATTTTATATTGTTATCTGCATTTAATTGGTTACAGTTTTCCAAGCATATTGGATTATAAAATATTTAATTAAACCTATGAAAGCGTGCATTTTCCATTAATTTACTTTTAATACAAATTTTCACGATGACTGTTTTCTGATAGATACGAAAACTACGTTTATATTGAAACGGCAAGTTTAAGAGACAAAAATATATGATAACAAATAAATAAATTTGAATACTAAATATGTACTATATCGTCTATATGTTACGCTGAATCTATATGTTAATTCAAGTACTTAAGTACTATAAATAAATCTTTAAAATTGTCTATTAAAGCTATTAATTTTCAAATATTTTGCAGCTTAAAGAAATATTTATTTTAATACTTAGAGCTCTACAAAATCGAAATTATTAATAGATATAAAAGATTGTGTTCGTATTAAACCATCAGCCTTCAACATTCAAAGGCTTTAGCTAAACATATTTGAGCTAGTTAAAAATTGTCACGCTAAGATTCTTAAGGTATAAGGTGATATTCCAATATTAAATAATACGAAAACCTAATATCATAATAGTTTTTAACAAAATTGTCTTAAATGTGTTGCTTAATTACTTTAGCATTTAGTTCCGATGCATTCAATATTTTTCCTAAAATTGAATGAACGAATTCAAAATCTAAAATATTTGACTAATAACATGTTATCACTGCAGCTAAAATCACTAATTTTAATGAAATTAAGATATGGCTGTTTCCATTGTCATAAGTTGATTTATGCATATTTTGTTTGTAGATATTTTGTATATAAATATTATGTCAAATATTTTAAACTTCCCTTGTGGGAAATTTTTTTCGACAGTTTTCGTGTTAAATGAGCTAACTTATTTACAATGAGCTCATTTATATGGAAGCTCTTTCTACGGTAAATTGTTCTAATTAGTAGACTTAATGAGCAAAACTGCCTAAATGATATAAGTAGAAGAATGGTATAAGCTCCTTTGTTATCAATCTGAGTTTAACAATTTATACGACAGTATAAAAGGATCAGAAGTGTAATATTTACAACATAGTGTGGCATATATTTGCGTATTAAAGATATGCAAATAATCTTTATATATCTTTTTAGTTTATTATCCCCATTATCGAACTAAAGAAATCATATTAAATCAGACGATAATCTGATCTGATCTGATCTAGTAAGAATAGTATAAACCTCTCTAGAAACCGTGGTCATAAACATTACAGTTTGTGGATAAAGTATAGCTTGGATATTAATTCATGATATCGTAAATTAGAATGGTTTGAGTAGTGACGCTATCGATGAAGTTTCTTGGATTAAGAAAGCAAGCAATTCTATGATATCTTACTAAAGATAGCGAGTAGCTCTGAATGTAAAACAAAGTAAAATAGCATATTTCGGATATATAACATTTAAATCTAATTAAAATTTGTTGTAGCTCATAGTGCAAGCTAAAATTTAAGCAAATACCTTGGCTGCGTAATATTCAAAACTGGACTGACATTAAAGCATTTCTTACAAGTGCTGCAAGCTACATGAAATAGACAAGATTGTATAAAATATTATATAAATTTAGATGTTTAAATAGTATGTATATGATCAATTATAGTAGCAACTTCGTCAATATTCTGTATAGATTACTGCAATACTCAATACTTATGTGTTTACTCTACCGCATCATCTCAAGCGCACCCCTTCAACAATTTTTTTCGTATACCACTGTTTTTAAGTTCTTGGCATTGTTTGAGACGTTCGGGTATTGTTATAGAAACTCAAAAAAGAAAAAAATACCAAAATGTTGCAAGGTTGTGCGTCTAATTGCAACGCAATATGTGGCAAAAAGTAGAAGTAACTGAAAGAGAAGTTCTAGCTGAAGAGGCGAAAGCAAAGTCAGTGGGTTTTCTATTCAATTTAGTAATGAGTTCCAAAAGTTCTACTGAACTTT